ACCAATCTAAAGGACTGTTACCTCTGTTTCTCAGTACCATTTTTGGTCTCATTCTGTAAATTAATGGTTCTCAACTTTTTTAGATTTGAGGTACATTTGGATAAACTCAAAGCACCCCTCAAGAAATGCAGCTCTTAGTTTTCACTTATTTTAGAACACAGAAACATAACAGAGCAATTCTTCTGTTGTAAAGGACTCAGAAATACCACAACAGGGCAGAATACTTTTAACACTATAGATTAGAAATCTCTGTGTTTACCTTTTTAATCATGTTCACCCATATAACACTGCTAACATTGTGTGGCACTTCATGGCATCCTTGAAAGGCTCTCAAGGTATCCCAGGATGTCACAGCACCCAGGATGAGAATCACTGCTGTTCACCCTCACACATGGCAGCTGTCCCAGTTTAACTTGACGATCATGTCTTGTGAGCATCCTGGTCTTTCCCCTCATCTGAGTATTCAAGTTCTTGGAACAGAATACTGTTGTGATTTTCTTTTCCCTTTGTTGACCTGCAGTACCTACACTGTTTGGTTATGTTGGCTACATCAAATATCCTGTGCTGTGGGTTATATCAAGCACATGTTTCTGTGATGTGGGGATGAACTATTATGTCTCAACATGTTTCTGTTAATTTTCTACTGGAAATGTTTTGACAATAAAACTTCCTGCATGTTTTGGCATTTCAACAGAGATCTGTAAAATATTCATCCTGTAGTATAGTGCTTCATCAGGTTACTTTTTATGCAGGTTAGTAATAAGAGAGATGAACTACAGTAGCAGAATGTCATCCCATAAACATCATGAGCACAAAGAACTATAATGTAAATAGTATCCTTATGTTTAACTCCACCAATACATTCCAAAAGAGCTGCACTATCAGAAGCATTCAATATAATTTTCAGATGATATATATGTTTGTTCCAGAGTGTATATTTAAATAAGCATCTTCCTCATATATTAACTGTCACAATTCAATAATGGTATTAAAGGTGATATTAGACAGTTCACCAAAATAGAATTTCTTATTGAGTGCATGTCTCATGAAATGGCACAAATCAATGCAGTCACTTTACCTAGCAACATATATTTCTTTAGATTGCCCAGTAAGTTTGCTGGGCAGTGGAGACCCTGATGATACCACAACCCAATGTCCTTCACTCTTTGAAAAAAAGCGATAGCCTGTGGCACTCCAAATCAAATGCTTAAAAAAGGGACAGTCATAGTTAGTTCTGTGTCTCCTTTTTAACAAGCCCAGATGGAACCAGTTCCTTGCTCCTTCAGGGGATGATCCAGTCCTTTATGCCATCAGAAGGAGTTTTCAAAAGAGCTGGCCTGTAATGTGAAATATAGCTTAGGTTTAATTTGAATAAGATGAAAGTGATGCTTGTTGAAAAGAGAAACATGTTGTGGAATTTGTGCAGGCTGTGGTTAGTAACTCAGCTGAACACATCTAAAATAGTGGTTCTCAACCTTTTTAGACTCAAGGCACCCCTCAGAAAGTGTCAGCTTTTAGCTTTCACTCAGTTTTTGACTACAGAAAAGTTCTCTGCAACAAATTCTTCTGTTGCAGAAAACTCAAAGACCACAAGAAGTCAGAATGTATTTAAAACTTTAAATTCCTATTCCTGGATTTATCTTGTGAAACATGTTTGCACGCCTAACAATGCTAACATTGCCTGACACCCTTGAAAGACACCCCAGGGTGCTATGGCACCCTGATTGAGAATCACTGATATAAATTTGGGATCACAGCAATTAACAGTCTGTCTCTGTGGTAGATTCCTGTGCTCCCTATTCTCAGAAAAAAAATGATCCTCAGATAACTGATAACTTACACCTTTTGTCACTCTTGCCATCCATGCATTTGCCATTTTAAGGTTGCCCTGTAGTAATACACTGTATTGAGGGACAGCCAAAAGGCCACTTGGAAGCTTGTGATAATGTCAAATGTGGTTTCTTACCTTTTGAGTGGAACAGTCTTGTGACACCATATTGCCTCTGTGCTCCACCTTACCCAATAGCTGTCAATTCACTGCTAAATGAATGTAGGATTCTGGTAACCACCTGTAAAGCCCTAAATGTTCAAAGATCAGCTATTACAAAACCCCCTGCCCTCTGTGCTTTATCACCAGGGATCCTGGTTTTCCCTGTTTAGAAACTGTAAATTGTCTGATAAAATCCATGTTTTTCTGCAATTAAAATGAAACATCAATATATACATAGGTATCAGTTGAACACAATGTTTTATTGACATATTTAGAATTTAAAAGCAATTGCAAATTTCAACAGTTCCTCAATCATTATAATAAAATACATTCTAAATACCTGTATATATTGACATTTAAATTTTGGTTTATCATAGGAAAATCAGACCTCCCCCTGCCCCCTACACTCATCAAGATGCGAGTTCAGCTGCAACTGCCCCCATTCCTACTTTATGGTGCTGAGCAGTCCTGATAATGCTGGTGCCCTGCCCATGCCATTGCCCCTCACACCCAAGTCTCAGCACCCCTGGCCCTGCCAGTTCTCCTCGCTCCTGATCCACAGCCCTCCCCTCCCCCAGCCCTGCTGGCACCCCTCACTCCCAAGCCACAGCTCCCTGGCCCTGCCAGTGCTTCTCACTCCCCAACCCACAGCCCCACTATCCTTGCTGGTGCCTCTCACTACCCACAGCCCCCTGCCTCCAGTTGTCAGAACTATGGGGCCATGGGCCTGGGTCTGCAGCGCCCAAGCCCTGACTGCCACCTGTGGGAGGTGACAGCTGCTGCAGCCAGAGCAGACCACAGAGTCAGGCTCCCCCGCCCTCACAGTTGGCATGGCTGGAGTGGAGTCCATTGGGGGGTGGGGGGTGGATGCAGGCTGGCAGCTGTGGGCATGGGGCTTGCTGCCCAGCTGCCCACCCTGCAGGGGCCTTTGTGGCCCAGTGGGTAGGAACTGGCACAGCAGGGCAGAGCTTGGCAGGGAAGCTTGGTGCCATCACCGGGAGCCCCATGTGCTGCCATGGCGAGGCACCCCCTACCCACCTGGCAAGAGTGGAGTGCACAACTCTGCACTACCACCCCCGCACCAGGTCCTGCCCCCAGGGGAGGGCAGCAGGGCATGAAGCCCCAAGCCCATAGCAGGCAGCCTGCACCCACCCCAGACACAAATCTGGGGGGCACGAGCCCCCCCATGCATCCCCAAAAGTGCATGCAGCAGCAGGGAGCCAGCCCCCCCACACCATATCCCCAGATGAACTGCCCACGGCTGTGTCCTGCTCCCTGCCTTGACCCTGAAGCCGCACATTCCTGACCCAGGCCCCACACACTGTCCCAGTTGGGCAGCGCCCCTAGCCCTACCCCAACTACCCCTTTCTCTCTCCCTCACTCTGGGGGTCTCAATTCCCCCACACTGCTCTCCACTCTGCCTGGCTGCCACATGCATGTGTACATGCGCACATGCACATCCTACCCCATGCCTGACTGCCCTGTTCCCACTTCCCCCAGCCCCTTGGCGGCTGGAACTCTGCATGCCTGCAAGGGGAAACCCATTTCACATGTTTTTCTTAGAGGTGCACCAATACATCGGTCCAATATCAGATCAGCACTGATATAAAGAAAATTGGCTGTATCGGAAATCGGCTTGATGTGACCAATAAATGGGTCATGCATGCATGCAGCTGCAGCTCAGCATATAGGCAGTGAGGAACACAGCTCAGCAGCTCAGAGAGCTGTGTGCAGCTGGTAAGTCTGGTGTGCTGGAAGGGGAGGGAGGAGGAAAAGGGGCATGGGGGCGCAGATCAAGGCTCCCATGATGCAGGAGAGAATGGGACTGGGGCAGGGGCTGGGGCAGGTGCTGCCCAGCCAGGGTAGGGTAGGCATGAGATGGAGCCACGGCTCATATGGTGGGACATGGGAAAAGGGGGCAGCTCCTGCCATTGCACACACCCCAGGAGGGCACAGGAGGGGGTGGCATGTACTTCCAGATCTGCATGTGGCAAGGCAGGATGCCACTTGGGGCTGGGGCTGCGCCAGGCTCTTCCCAGTGGGGGCTGTGCCAGGAGCAGGCAGCAGCAGTGCTGGGAGGAAGGGTTGGGGGTGGGGGCTGCAGCAAATTTTGGGGTGGCTGCAGCCGCCCCCTACAGGCCCACTCCCAGCGCCGCCACTGTGAGCTC